CAAAAATAAAATTGGCTTTTAGTGGGGATCTAATTTTTTAAATTTTTTAGTTTTTTGTTTTCAATTTTTTAAGCTTTTTTAATATTAATTATGTTTAAAATCGTTAGGTTTTCTAAAAACTGATCTAGTTTCTAATTCAACTCCAGTTTTTAACTTAATAGTAGCTCAACTTCAATTCAATCTGGCCCAATCATGAAAACAATTTTTTGATCTAACCAAGCTGTTAATAGCTCCGATCGATGGTCCAACCATCCTGTTCAATCTAATTTTTAAAACAATGATCTACCTTGCAAATTAATTTTCCAATCAATAGTAAAATGACAGACCAAGCTGATAATTTAGGCTAAGTTCGATAGAGTTAGAGCTTGGCTCAAACACTTGAATAAAAAATAATTTTTAAAAAATATATAACACATAATAAATATTAATTAATTCTATAAGTCTTATATCATTTTATACTAAAATACCATTTATTTTGGTGCATAGCTATATTCATTTTTTTAAAAAAATAAAAATATTTATATGTTCATATTTTTATTATTTTTAATTAATAAAATATCTCAAAATAATATTTAAAATATATTTTAAAAATTTTGAGTCCTATATATCATTTGCATATCCAAAAAAATATATTTTATATATTTTATAAAATAATATAATTAATTTTAAAGTAAAAATAATTTAAAAAATAAAATTCAGACATGTATGAATTCCCAACTCTACCACTAGATAAATATAATTAATAGAGCAATATTTTTGGATAATTATTTAGTTATCGTCTATGTCAGACTTAGTTAAAAATTAAGAATAGACTAAAGTAAATACCTTTTGTATATAGGGGTTAAACAATATAAAAATTTAAAGCAAAAAAATTACAAAAAATAGTATTTTACTCATAATTAAATAATTTTATTTTATGTAATATAATGATGGCTATTTTTCTCATAATTTTAAAAATAAAAAGTAAAGTTTACCTAAAAGTTATTAAAGACTTTGAACTAATTGGGACAATTATTTTAAATTAGTGGCCTAACCATAATTAAATTAAGATCAACTTGATCATAACTAAAATAATATAATTTAATTAAAATATATAAAATATTTATATATGACCATGATAAGAATAATATTTAAACAATAAGATATTAATATACAACTAAAGGAAATATTTATGAATAAATTACATATAATATAATAAAATAGTAACAGAGCTACTTAAATACAAAGTTAATAATTTATTATTTATTATTTTATTATTTTAAAGTTAAAATAATATTTTATGCTTAACAAAATTATTTCAAAATTAAAATTGATTCAAAAAATAAAAAAATATTTTTAAAATTTTTTTGATATTCGGGCTGGCCTGAATAGGCCTGAAACTTAAAGGTGTTAGGATTGAATTTAGCTATATGAGCTTTTTAAAAAAGATAGGATATTTTAAATCCAATCTAAATGAGCCAACATGTTCGAATCACAAGCTCTAAAATAGGGCCCTCCATTTGTATTGATGATTTGGTCGTGTTACTGAAGTTGTATCACTGATATGGTAATTGGATGAGATGGTTAGATAGCTCAGCAAACATATTCTGGTGATGTTATCCAAAAAAGCTTGATGATATGCGTGTACCTGCTTCCCTATGCTGTTGCGTGTTAGGAATTGTTTTATCTCAAAAGTTTGATTTGAAATATCAGCTACCCTTCACACAAGGATCGAAGCAACTGAAAAAGTTTATGTGCATAATAATACAAATGAAGAAGTTGGGAATAAAAAAAGTGATGGCAATTCATTACAGCTAGTTGGAAATTATCTAATATACTCTGTCGGTCTCTATATATAAAATATTTTTAATTAAATTATATAAATTAATAAAAATTAGTTATCTAATTAAAAGCACATCAATATTTTAATTTTTTTAATTATTATAAGTAAAAAATAAATCTCTTTTTTCAAAGTAAATTAATGAAAGTATTTATTTTTTTCTCTTTTTAATTTAATAAGGGTATAATAGTTCATTTATTAAAAAAATATGTTAATAATAACTTATATTTAAGAACAAAAAAAAGTTTTAAAAAATTTTTTATATATAGGGACAGACGGAGTAAGTAAGTATCATTAGCACATATGAAGTAAGCATGACTTTTGGCTATTCTGTACATTAAGGTATTCACTTGATACCCAACATAAAACGGGAGAATGACAAAAAAGTTTTAAAATGGCTAATTAATTCAAGTTATATTTTAAATGCCGAACTTTTTAAATTTATAACTCAATTTTTTAATTTTGCAACTACGTTGTGGTGAGTTTGTAACTTGTTTTTCAAATTTTAACATGATTAAATAATAAAAAAATTATTTTTTCTGTTAATATTTGAAATATAAATTGCAAATTCATCACTTGCAAAGTTAAGAGATTGAGTGATAAATTCTTAAAATTTGGCACTTAGAGTTAACTTGAATTAATTGATCTTTTTGAAACCTCCCTATCATTCTCCTAGCATAAACACCACCACCCATACGTGGTACTACAAAAAGTAATAGAACTTTGCCTACAACATCTTGATGTTAAAGGTTCTGAAAAAAGATTTATTTGCAAGCTGATTTAATATACTTTTTACCTACATACAAGTTAAAGAAGTGGCTAAGAAATGAAAGCTACCAAAAGAGGTTGTGGCTATTGGCTAGAACTCCAAACCAAAAATATTGGCTCAAGGCAATTGGAGAAGGTAGATGACGAATAAAGACCTTTCGTTCCAAATAAATTCATCAAAATGGAAAAAAAAAACATACCTTTATCTGTCATGTGATGTATGTAACCAAATAAGTTAAGAATCTCTCCGCTCAAGCAATTGCAAAAAGTAGCTATTGAACTATCAAAGGCATGTGATATGACATGAATCTGAAAAAAGTATATTCAACAAATCTGAACAAATAACTTTAGCTGTCATATAGTGGACGTAACCAAAATAAGGTAAATGACCAGGGTCAAAAGGCAATGGTAATAGTCACCAAGCTAGAAACCAAAAATTGGTTACAGAAGTTTAGCATGACTATTAAAAAGACTCACAAATTAAACTCACTACTCAAACCATCAAGAGGATGCTAAAATAAACTGTCATAAGTTTTTTGACAGATAAATTTTAAAAGCTATCAAGATTTCCAAAAAAAAAACTAAGTGAAACACATACCTGCAAGGATTACCAATCATACTAACAGAAATATGATTCAAATTCTTTACACCCTTGCTCTTCACGAATATTTTTACAAAAATAGATAATGGCAACATCATTTCAACGTACATATATTTTAAATACTCCTTTCATGTTGGATTTAAATTTAATCCTTGATCAGATCATATATTGCAAAGACCCATTTTCTAAGAATCAACTATTATTTCATAATAGAAACAACATAAAGTAAACTTAATTGAACTATGATTCAACTGTCAACCACATGAATTATAAAGCGTATATAATATATTGATTATCAAACAGGATATATAATACCCTCCACACACTTTAAAAAAAAAAACAACACTCTTGATGACGACTTTCATCGGTGACTCAAAAACATCACCATAGAAAGTCTAACCTTCAGCTAGAACACTCAAAGTTGCTACTAATCATCAACTTTAAGAGGCGACTTTCTAAAGTCGCCGATAAAAAATTTAGGTTAATGTCATTGCTAAAAGTTCACAATCAACAACAACTTTGATTGTCAACATAAAAGGTCTAACCAAAAAGTCACCGCTGAAAGTTTGATATCAATAATAACTAGATATCATTATCATAAATTTTTTATTTTTTTATTTAACCAATATTTAACATTTTAAGACATTAATTTTATATTTCAACTAATATACTTTTTCAATTCAAATTCATTAAGCTTTAAAGCTTAATGTTAGCTTAGAGGTTTGCAATTCGATTATTGGTAGTGACGAGAAAGATGACAAGAAGAACATGAGTGGGATATTAAAAAAATCCAACATTGAATTTTTAGAATATATGAAATATATCTATGTGATGTTACATGATTTTTTGTTTAATACTATCTTAGGACATAAATACAAAAAGATGGATGAAGTTTACATTTAATCTTTTAATTTTACACAAGGTTTCATTTTAGTCTCTTGAGTTTATAAAGTGTATTTTTAGTTCGATAACCCTAATATCATTAGTTTCATCCCAACAAATTTTTACATTTAACTTTCAAATATTAACAAAATATTATTAAATATTGACATATTAAGTTTAATTTTTCAAAATAATAATGATTGACACACAAAAATAATCATTTGAAACTAATAATGTTAGAGTTAAATGACTAAAAAAAAATACTTTGTAAAATTAAGGAATCAAACTGAAACCTTATATAGAATTAAAAGTATACATTAGCCTAAAAAAATTAGATAATATTGTTTATAATTTTCTTATAAATTATATTTTAAAAAATAAAAAATAATTAACAAATTAAGCTATAATGTAAAAACAAGTCAATAACGTTACTTAAGAGTTGTTGTTAATTAAAAGAAAAGTCAAAAGCCATATATAAACTCATAAGGTAAACACATAACACAAATTTATGTAAGCATACGGGCAAGAGTCATATATTTAGTTTTATTTATTTAATATACTTTAATCAAATCAAAACATGTGGACTTCAGTGTGTTAAATAATATTAATAAGAATTTGTTATGAAATAAATAATATATAAAAGATATATATGTCTTGATTTAATTAGAAAAATGCATCTTAATTATATAAGGTTAAGTATATAAGTTTTTCCTAAATGTAATTCAGATGGTAATATTATATATTATAATTACATTCATTTATAAAATAAATACCTAAAAACTGGACCGTAGATTAAAATATGGATGATTAAAAACAGTGATGAGTATGGAAGATAACCATATAATTTTATGATTTTCTCTGTTCCCTATCTTCCCCCATATATACCCAGTATTCATCATTGAAAGCTCTATAGATCTACCAATTCTTCAAGGCCTTTCTCTCATTATCCATTTCTCTCCTCAACTTCCAAGTTCGAACCGTGATGGCTCAACCACACTCTCCGTCAAAGACTCTTATCGACCCAGAGAACAAGCAATCACCAGAAGAAGAGAGCTTCTCACATGCGATGCAGCTCGTGACATCTATTGCGACTTCCATGGCGCTGCAAACGGCGGTGCAGCTCGGCGTGTTTGAGGTCATTCATAGAGCCGGTCCCGGCGTCGAGATCTCCGCCGCTGACATAGCGTCGGAGCTTTCTTGCAAGAACCCAGAAGCAGCTTCCGCACTGGATCGACTCCTCCATCTTCTAGCGTCTCACTCAATTCTTTGTTGTTCCGTTATCGGCGATGAGAACCGAGGGTCGGGATGTTTCAGGCGGTTGTACAGCCTCTCTCCGGTGGCCAAATTCTTCGTTCGAAATGCGGATGGTGCAACGTTAGGTTCCTTGATTGAATTGCTTCATGATAAGGTCTTCGTGGATAGCTGGTTAGTCAGTATTTTTTTTTCAAAAAAGAAATATAAAAAAATTTAAAAAATATAGGGATAATTAAGCATTTCAGTCATACAAGTTTATCTTAGTTATTAATTTAGTGATTCAAATTTGATTTCTATCAATTTAGTCACAAATAATTTCTTAAATTATAATGTTAGTTTTTTAAATTTTAAAATATAAATTGACTCTCAAATTAATCTAATATATAAAGTATATTAATAAATTGATATGTATATGTAATTAAATTAGCTTTGAAATTAATATAATCTTATTATACTACCTAAAAGTACACATATTTTCAATTAATATTTATGGCCGATTTTAACATTGTTACATCCTTTTTGAATAATAAGTACTAAATTAATAATTGAAATAAATTTAAGAAATCAAATTGATAAAAATTAAACTTGAGGAAGAAAGGGATAATTGAAACAAATTTCATAGATTAAAAGTTTATTTCATCATCCCAAAAATATATAACTATTACTACAAAAAAAAAAACTTTTAGTAGTAACTTTTAGCTATGACTAAAAAAGTCTCCACCAAAAGTGAACTTGCCATCAAAAGTTTTTTTTTTAGTGTACACTATTTCCAATTTTATTTGTCTACCATATACAGCTTTGTTCTAAAGTGATAAATTGTACATTTATTCACTAATATTGACAGGTTAATCTACACCAATTAAAATAACTTATTTAAACTGATTTACATCCAATGTAGAAAGCATGTCATTATTTACACCGGTTATTTAACTAATGTAGATAATATTCTACACCGGTTACTTAACTGGTGTAGTTCACAACATACAAGGAATTTTTTTGTTTCAAATTTCATTATCTACACCAGTTACCTATCACTAACCGGTTTAGATATCTACACCAGTTTCTATTTTTTCCCAAATATTGAGTTGGTTTGCTCACGGTTATACAGTAGTGCTGCATTCGAGTGAAATATTATATATGAGATTTTATTTTCTTCTTCATAAATATCATTTTATCACCACTCAAATTAAGAATTTGTATTCGTAACTTCTTCTAAAATTTATATTCTTAACCCTTTGATAGTTGACAACATTTCAAAATTTATGTCATTCAATATAAAAATAGCTGACCAGTAAAGATTATCAGTTGAATTTTTAGGAACTTTTTATTTTATTTTTAATTAATTAGTTATATATATGTGCATGCAAATTAATTGTGATATTATAGAAATCCAATAGAATGGATGAGTATTATGCAAATTTAAAAGATGAATCAGAATATTCATGACTAGTTAAAAGAAGCACAATTTGCTATAAATTTATAATATATATATATATATATCTTATATTAACAATATGAACATATCTTATATTAACAATATGAACATTTTTAAGGTCCCAATTGAAAGATGCAATATTGGACGGGGGTATCTCATTCAATAGGGTCCATGGATCACATCTTTTTGAATATCTAAGATTGGACTCCAGAGTCAACCATGTCTTTAGCAAAGCGATGAAGAATCACAGCACTATAGTTATGAACAAGATTCTTGAATCCTACCGAGGTTTTGGGGACATCACTAGACTCGTCGATGTTGGTGGAGGTCTTGGGATTACTCTCAAGTTGATCACATCCAAATATCCAAACATTCAAGGAATCAATTTCGACTTGCCTCATGTCATTCAACATGCGCCTTCTTATCCTGGTATGACCTAATTAATTACTTTGACATTTCAAACCAAGTAATCATATTAATTAATTAAATCACTGATCGTAATAACGTTGCAGGAGTGGAGCACGTAGGAGGAGATATGTTTGAAAGCGTGCCAAGAGGAGATGCCATCTTCATGAAGGTGGGTTAGTATGTAATATTATCATTATATTATCAATATATATGTGTGTGTGTGTGTGTGTATTTAATTTAATCACAATGAGAGGTTAATTAGGTCTGGCTTTAATCTGTTAGGGTAAATTTTACTTGAAATATCACATATAACCCTTGTTTTTAAAATAATGTTGACTTGCTATTGGTCAATCCCACCTAGTGGCCGACATGAGGCTTCTCATTGTTGTTGATGACTTGTCATCAGCAAGCGTTGACTGGTCAAAAATGATTTTATTCAAATGTTAATACTTTAATATTTATAAGTCAAATTTATATAATAGATTGACAAGTGATTATAAATGACCTATTGTATTGTTTGACTTGTAAATATAAGAAATTTAACTCATAAATCTGATATATGTTTTATTTATAAATATCAAAGTATTAATATTTTAATAACAAAAATTTAAGAATTCTTTTATTTTTTTGACTTGGTTACTAGCGATCAATCAACTTGGTCGACTTTAGTCAAATGAGATGAGTCCAAGAACATTTGTATAATTTCTCATAGAAAATTAATTACAACCAAGTCTCAAGGATTTGAGAGTATTTTCACAAATTCATGATACTTGATTTATTTATAATCCCCCCCCAAAAACACACACACATATAATAAATGACAAGTAGAGGTTAAAAGGTGTGGCTTTGTTGGGGTAAATTTTGTAGTGGATACTTCATGATTGGAGTGATGAATGGTGCTTGAAGCTGTTGAAGAATTGCCATGACGCCATTCCTAAAGATGGAAAGGTGATTGTGGTGGAGGCAGTTTTACCATTTGTATCAGAAACTTCTGCTGCAGCGAAAAGCATCACCCAAAGTGATGTGATGATGTTGACTTATTGCTCAGGTGGCAAGGAGAGAACTGAGCATGAGTTCATGAAATTGGCTACATCAGCTGGGTTTAGAGGCATCAGATTTGACTGCTTCGTTCGAAACTTTTGGATTATGGAGTTCTTCAAATAGATACAAACGTGATCATGATGCAGTAATCGGGACACACTACTTTGTGCCACTTGCTTTAATGCACTCTATTTATCCGTTAGAAGTTGTCGTGGGTTGAATATGTCATGAGAACTATAATGAAATAATTATCTCCTTGCTTGAGATGTTATCATAAATTCATTCCATCAGAGAATCTATCGACGCCCAAATCCCATTAAAATGCCCTTATGTTCTCTCTGTTTTTTTTTTTTGTTTTTTCCTCACGGAGTTCTCTCAAAATCCGTTTCTATGAGATAATTCTACGGTAAGGTTCCTGGTGTTGACATGTATATACAGATTCCTCACACGTCTTACAAGTAATCTCACACACACAAACGCACCTTATAACCGGCCATATTCTAAACAAAACTGTATATTAGTTACTCAAATGTACCCCCTTCCAGATATCTCTTCATATGGCCCAAAAGAAAAATTAAGTGTTCCATACATGTCAAAGCATACAATTAAGATTAATAAATATATTTGAAATTTAATTTTTTCCAATTATCCAGTATCAATTGTTTGGCATGGGTGGTTGGGTATTTAATAAGCTAACTTAATGAGGATGAATTTTTTTAATAAATATATTGGAGACAAGATGTAGTTGTTCTTTATATTTATATTTAGTTTAAACTCTAGACTTAAGAAGGAGACTGTAACATTCCGATGAAGAACAGTAACACATGCGCAATCAAATGGAGATATGGTGCAAGTTTACTATTTGAGACCTAGAAAAGGAAACTGTTTTGGGGAAAAGCTTTCTTTCTAATTATTTATTTAATAATTTTTGGATGATTGGTGAAAGGTTCCTTTAAATTATCTTGGTGAAGATTAAAGTTTGCGTTCCCATAAATGGCGTTCTGAAAAAAATGACATAATTTGCACCATGCACCCCATAACATTTGATACCGATACTCCTGAAATAGTTTAAAAAAATTGATCTTTTATCCTAACTTTTAATGATGTCCCTGCCCCATGAGGAGTTGACTTGCATCATTTCTTTCTTACAAAACACTAATAAAAACCTCAAACTTTCAAGTCACTACAAAAAAATAAACTTTTGGCAGTGACAAAAAGTCATTGTCAATAGTCCAAAAGTTATCGCTAAAAATTTTTAGTGGTGACTTTTCGCCACTAAAAGATTGTTGCTATAACCATCATTGCTAATAGTTTTGGTGGTGACAATATTTGTCGCTGCCAAAAGTAGACTTTTAGTGGTAACATTTTTTTTTTGCTACTAAAAGTATTTTTGGTGGCCACAAACGTCGCCGCTAAAAAGACTTTTTTTAGAAAAATAATTTTAGCAACGACAAAACTTTTTTTAAAAAATAATAATTTCTTTTATGCCACATCACTCTATCACATGTACATCAAGTGATGCCATGTCACTTGCCATATATGCGACAGATGATACCACGTCACTTGCCATCTTGTGCCACATCATAGGCCACGTGTTTGACAGATAATGCTACATCATCTAGCCATCTCGTGTCACGTCACATGCCATGTGTACACTTCCTCAAGTCACCTCATGTGCCACGCCACTATCTCGTACCACATCACCTGCCATATATGTGTCCACTCAAGCTACCTCATGTGCTAGCCACCATTTCGTGCCAAGTCACTATCACACCCCAAAATATAGGAGTGATCAGCATGGAATGTGTGTACAAAACACATATCCCTTAAGCCTTAGTTCAAAAAAAAAATTCTATTACTTGATTATATTTATATTGGAATTAGGAAATCCAAACAAAAGCCTTATTATTTTTATAAGAATTTCGGCAGCACCTCTCTTATCAGTATGGCTTCCTAAAAATCTTACAATACAATTTTTATGAATATCACTAAAATCAAGAGCACAACTCCATCTAGCTTGTAGACAGAGTATGTAACCAAATAAAGATCTTAACTATAGCATATGTGGAGCACCTAATTATATTGTCTTTAAGACATAATACACAAATTTCATAATTACATCAAAAAGAGATATTTACAAAACAAACCTTTACCCTACACTGCAAAAAGCACTTTAGTAGTCAGCATGATGTACAATATTAGTTACATTATCTGAGACCAAAAATAAGTTTTCAGTGAATAACATCCCAATTATGATTTATGGAAATAATAGAAAGTACACCAATGAGTTTCTTATATATTTAATAAAATAATCAATTAAAAATAATATAGCACATATCGCGTGTGCGCACCAATTATTATGTAAATGTTAAAACTATGAATGTACAAATTCAATCACAATTTTATTAGAAATTTAAACTCCACTTTGAACATAAACATGTTTAACACTTGGGGAATAATATAGCTAAATATAAAATCCAATTATGGAAAAAATAATAGTTTACTTTAAAAGATCAAATTTTAAGAAAAATTAATTTTTTTAAATTCAATCTTTAGTAGGATATGATCAGAACAATTAACAAAGGTGGATACATAGTCCACAAAGGTAAATAACCAACAATCGTGAACACATAGTCCACAAAGGTAAATAACCAACAAGTGTGGCTCAAAACTATGAAAACAAGCGCGACCACAAGGCCCACAAAATCAAGCATGAATACTATGCTCACCAATAATCATCCCTCCGTTTCACGTGCATTAGCCATCGTATGGGGCTAGCACCTCCTAAGCGCCCTATTAGCTAGGTGTACCATGGCGTGTCAAGGGTTAACGGAACTGCCATTAGCAACTAGCATTCTGATTCAATCCCACAATTTAAATAAAACATGTACATGTTTATAAAATCAACATGATTTCTCTTACATGCAAATCAATGTAGCAATTGCCTTCAAATATTGATTTGAAGAAAATAATCCCGTGTGTGCCTTCTAGGTTGTTACAGTCACCTGCTGCGTGTGTGCCTTCTCAAGCCACCTCATGTGCCACGTCATCACGCGCCAGCCGACATATTTGTTACAAAATATGATAAAGTCAAAGTTTGAATCTTTGACCTCTCCCACTTCCAAACCTTAAGTTTTCCTTTTTTGTCAGTTGAACAAAAATGCACCTACAATTATTATATGCAAACTTAAATATATGTTATGTAACTACATACACATATATCAAATAATATATTATTAAAAAGATATACATATATTTTATTTTATTTTTAATTATTAATATGACAAAATGATTTATATAAATATTTAAATTATAATTTTAATAAAAAATTATTTTTTACCAGTAAATATTATTTTTGTTAGGAAAATGAACTTAAAATAAACAATTTTTAAATATTAAATAATATTCTTATATACATTGTAATCAATTTTTAAATTATATTTTTATTTTTAAAATTAAAATTATTAAGTATATAATTTATTTATAAATATTTATAATATTATTCTATGTTAAATATATTTTAATTTTTTCTTCTCCATATTTTTCTCAAAAATTGATAAACTAAATGATTAAATTTTTATCTTCTCTCAAAATAGCTAAATGTTTCCCCCTCTTTTATTGAAAATATATTTTATCAATAATTTTTAATATCTTAAAAAATTATTTTAATAAAAAATTAATTTTAATCACATAAATTTTATTAATAGTCATTTTGAATAATTTTGAAAATGAATACTAATAACTTTTATAATATATGATAGTTACAAGAATCTCATATGTGATCAATCTAGTTAACATCTAATCATCCTCAACCTCATAGCAAGATGGATTTGAATAGTTATTCATATTATTATTAGTAATAATTAGTTATAAAAATGTTATTAGTAACTTCTTTTTTATAGCAGTGGAAACCTAAATAGACTAGGAGAAATTACGTGGAATTCTTGTCCAAAAGCCATTAGAGCTTAGTAGAAGAAGTAGACACCATATGTATATTAAGCTAAGCATCAAGTAGGCAATATGTTAAGTAGTCTATAATATCATTTACATTTCATGATATTTGTACAACTTTAACATCCTAATACCATTTATGTATTTGATTGTAAGTAATAATTTATATATAACTTAACCTAATTATAATTGAAAGTAATAACCCATTAAGATTTTAATTTATCATATTCAAATACTAGCTTAATAACATAATTCTTAAAAAAATATGAGCTATATATGTCTAAAAAATGATTATGAATAATATAAAATTAGAAATAATTTAATAATTAAACTTAGCACATCTTGACTATTTTTTTTTCTCGATCCTATATATAATTTATTTCTAATTCTATACATAAAATAAGAAATTTAATTTCATAAATATATTTTGAATAATTTTATTTAATTTCAAATTTTTTAAAAAATACATAAATTTTTTTAAAAAATTTAAATTATAATTTTACAAATGTTGCCAGTAAAAGTAGATTATATAAATTATTTTTTATAAAAATACTTTTGGTGGTGACAAAAGTGGATTATATAAACTATTTTTTATAAAAATACTTTTGGTGGTGACAAATGTTGCTACCAAAAGTGGATTATATTAATTATTTTAAATTTTTAAATTATTTTTTATAAAAATACTTTTGGTGACGACAAATGTTACTACCAAAAGTGAATTATATAAGTTATTTTAAAATTTTAAATTATTTTTTATAAAAATATTTTTGGGGCAACAATTGTCACTACTAAAAGTGAACTTTTAGCGGCAACTTTAATTTGTCGTCGCCAAAAATGGACTTTTAGTGGCAATTTTTTTAGTTGCTGCTAAAAGTCATACTTCCTTCATTAAAAAATATAAGGTATTTTTTGAGGAGTTGGATGTTAAAAAATATAAGGCATTTTTAGTCCTTCAAGGTGTAATCATTGCCTTTTGTTCAAAAGTACCCCTATTGATAATGATTTTATATTTATTATAGGGTGTTTAATAGGGGTAAAGATAAAAAGATAGGGTTAATTTAAAAGTAGGTAACTACTTTATTGGGAGGTAAGATTCAGTTAAAAATACCTTATATTTTTGAACAGAGGGAGTATTTTTTGTAGTGAGTCTTAAACCCCAATCCATCTGTGGCTAGGTTGCTTCATTGTCCCATTCATTCTCATTATATATATATATATATATATCATAATAACATAATGCTAAATGATTTACATCTTTATGAAATTTATAATGCAATAGATATGATGAGTTTTGGTGTACCATATTATGGCAAAAAGAGTGAGTTGCCATTCAAACTATAGGCC